TTTTTCCCCCCCCCCCCCCTCGCCCCTTCCGGCATCTTAATGAGATTTTTATTGCAGAGTGTGACAACACGTGAAGGAAATACCCTCACCACTGTGACTGATCTTCCCGATGGTAACCAGTCAGTTCGTGTGTATGAATTCACTGATTCAGGCATCAATGTTGTAAGTTTCTCAGAAAATTTTACAATATTAAAAATTGATTTATTTTGTGATCAATCGTTTAAGAATTTGAAACAGTGGAAACATTTTATATCGAAAATTTTCTCATCTACATTCGACATTTTCTTCTCAAGTCACCGGTTCCCGAGATGAAAGAACAATCAGTAGAATGTTTGATTTTACTAATTTACGTAAATAAAGATGATTAAATTCTTGTCTTTTTTTTACAGCACTTGGCAGACAAAAAAGTCGGTGCAAAAGCCACCCGCACGTACAAGAGAGTTTAATTATAGCTTTTATCAACGAGAATGCAAGGACTGGCCACTCATGCAATGATAATGTAATTTTTGTCGGTTTTATTGATTACATACACAGGTGTTATTAATAAAGATAATTTGATTGAATTTCAATGGTTTCCTGAACTAATACTCCTTAATAAACAGACACAAAAACAATTTTTATTTTTATTTTTAAACTCCTTTGCCTCAAAATTTCCTAGCGGCCGGGGGGAAAACTGAATCAATAGTTTTTTTAGATTTGAGATTGATTTGGTCGTGAAAGGGTCAAAGGGAAATTTCAGAAAACAGTTGAAAAATTTTTCTGAGTTGAAAACTGTTTTCTAAAATTTTCTCTTGTAGTTGTAGCAGAAAATTATAGTTTTCAGAGAAAATTACAATTTCAGTCGTTATTAATTTAGAGGTCAATTGTTAGATTTTCATAAAAAAATTGATTTATAAGATCCTTCAGACCCATTTCACGTTGTCAGCATTTCAAATTTTATGGAAAAACTTGAGGAATTCAATAGAAAATCCTATTAATTTTTGGCCAATTCTATTGAAGAATTTCACAGCTTTACTGCGCGGCTTAGCAATAGGAAGTTTTTTATAGAAAAAATCAGTAGAATTTCATCTGTTAATTTTTTTTCTATCAAGACATTTTCGATAGGATTTGATCACCATGAATTTTCCACGTTTTTTCCGTTCTCTTTCCCTTTCTTTCCACAAAAAAATTCAAACAAAAAAAATTAGCAATTTGAGCCGAGGGATTTTTACAGAAAATATCCTCTTCTGCACCGGTTGAACGCTTATTCAATTTTGCTGGCTTTATTCTGTCCGCCAGAATGAAGTTTCATAAAATTTCTATTTCATGAAAATCAATTTGAATTCCTATTTGAAACAGATATTCCAATTTGACAAATTCCGTCTATCAACGTATGAAAAAATTCAATAGAAAATCTAGCGAATTCGTTAGAAAATTCTATTGGAATTCTATAGGAATTATATGGGGTTTCTATTTTTCTATAGAATTCCAATAGAAATCCTATAGATATATTATATTCAAAAAACAATAAGGGTGATTGGCGATATTTGTGCAGTACAAACAGTGAAATAGTGAAACAAATTAGCAAATGCTATTTTATTTTTCGTTCCGTCGAAATGAAATATAAAATACCTATTTTGATTCAATTTCAGAACCACATATGAATAAATACTATTTGACACGCATGAGAAAATTCAATAGAAAATCTAGTGAATTCGATAGAAAATTCTATTGGAATTCTATAGGAATTCTATGGGGTTTCTATA